TATTTAAGACCCAAACAGGAATATTAGGAGGAGCATAAAAGGTGTTTTGCTAAGGCACTGCATACCTAGGGATCTAAATTCTGCAAAATCCTGTAACTCCCAGGAAAGCTCTAAGCTGCCTTATGGTATGGGGGTGGGGGGAGAGGGAAATGGAAGATTGGGTTGATGCATTCATGACTCAGGAGTGAGTCTGTCCCTTTAAGGCCACACCTAGGTAGGTGACCTGTGGGAGGCAGGGACTGTCAGGATTTGAATGTAACACTCTTGGATAAAAGAGAGCTCTAGCTCATTTTTTATATAATTTTGTAAATGTTTGTACCATATTTAGATAAAATATAGACACAACACTGTTATAAGGTTTTTATTTAAGACACATAACCAAATATGTAAGTGAACTCTGATTTAGTAGTACTTAAAGCTTGACAAGATCAGCAGAAAACACAGATAATTTCTTTGATAAAATCTTTCTCTGTAATCATTTTTTGTAGATGTTACTCAGAGAAGAACAATATTAAGATAACCTTGTTATTTTATAGACATAGAGGACTTGATTTTAGTTTGACATGACCCTAAAAATCTTTTAGGCAACTCTTAGATTATACTCAACTTTAACTTAATTACACATCGAAGCTTTTTATTATACACTTTTAAAACTTACTCAGACCTTTATATAACATACTAAACCCTTTGATGGCTTGTCCTTATCCCTCCTATTTGCACACTGTGGGAATCTATTTGTTCCTGAAGGAGGGGGCAGCAGAGCTAGCTGCCTGGGGGGAGGAGAATTTGAGCATTTAGTTGAGATAGTAAATCTCATCTCAGCAGAGGCACTGGAGTTTCAGGAACTATGAGGAAAGAGTGACAGAAGAGGAGGTCTCCCCAAGAGCAGGTCAGAGGCTAGGTAAAATAGTGCACTAGGGGCTGGCCAGATTTGCCCTGAATGATAAACTTGTCATTGGACTGGGGACCAGGAGAGAACGGTAAGACAGAGAAATGAGCTCCACTGTCTAGCTGGAAAATGATCTTTTGTTTTTTCTGCCACAACGGCTACCATGAGGCTCCTCAACATCGATGCCAAGAAGTGGAGCATGGACAGGAGGCTGGGACCCATCAATCCATAGGAGGTGGCCTCCTGTCCACCATGGTAGCAAACTCGAGATGTAGGCCCCAGTCAGGTGGGGGTAGCAATGAGGTCATGTCTCTTAGTATACAGACATGGCTAGTTGTATTAGTTGATCCAATGACTTTTCTCTTTAAGCCACAGACTGAGTTTTCCACAAATATCTGGGGCTGACTGTTAGAAATTTATCTTTGAGGAGAACCTCTCTCATCTGTGACTCTGGGTCCACCGTGGTATGCTTTCTGATAGCATCCTTAAGATGCTGTAGAAAGGTAAGGGGATTTTCTTCAGGGTGTTGCTGTAAAGTTGTTATTTCACATTGACACCTGACACTCTGGAGAGCAGGTCTCTGAACTGTTCTGGGCCTCAGTTTCCTCACTTGAAGAATGAGGGATCTGGTCTAGGTTAAACTACTTTCTTCCACTATGAGATGGCTGAAGTGATATTAATACCACTTATCTTTATCATTTTTTTTTGATTTAGCAATGCTGGGGGATTGAACCCAGGGCTTTGCACATGCTGGGCAGACATTCTCCCACTGAGCTACTTCCTCAGCCCCAAATATCTTTTTTTGCCTTTGGCTGTACTGGATTTGAACTCAGGGCTTTATGCCTGCAAAGTGGCACTCTACTGCTTGAGCCATATCATCAGCCCCTTTTGGTGTGGATCTGTCAAGGGACTGCCTGTGCCCCTGTAGATAGGCACATTTATTCCCTCATTTCCAGGTGCCACTAGTATTGGGGCTCATTGTAAATGGTAATCATTTTTAACCTGAGTGGCCTGGGCCAGAACCCATTGCTTTTCTAATGAGACAAGAGTCTGGTCTAGTAGAAGCATAATATCCTTTCATGTCTAATGAAAGGTTTGGATCACAGAGATAAAGGCTTGAATGTATTTGTTTGGGCATCAGTACAGCTGTCTAGATGTTTTTTAATTTCCCTTACATCTGATAGCTGGAAGGAGACATAGACTCGCCCTCTTCCTACCACTACCTGTTGAAGGGGGAAGTACCCATTAGGAGTTTCTGAATATTGGGGTGGCTTAGAAGGTAGAAATTTGTATAGGGGAACTCAGTTCACTTTTTCCCTTTTATAGAAAAGGTCTAATTGGAGTATGGTATTGTAATTTAAGGAACCCTGTGATGGCCACTTCTCTTGGTCACCCAAGGCATACTGCGGCCAGGCCTCAGTACAAAGCTTCCAACATCTACAAGCCAGAAAACTGGAAGGTGCAGGTCCCATCTAGAAAGAACAAAGTGCTAGGATCCTGTCTTTTAGCTAGCAGCAGGCAGCCTCTTTAATAAAGGCTACCTTTTTAACAAAGGAATAAATCACCTGTAAAGTTAGAGAAGGGCATTTAGAGGGCATCCCAGGCCAGTAACATTACCATACAGGACAACTAGTGTTAATATTTGGAGGGAAAAATTTATGTCGAGGCCGAAAGTATAGAAAGTTTTAAATGAGAAGTTTAGAGACCACAGTATGTGCTTTTTCTGGGACTATAACCTTGAGCTAACAATTGGCTTACAAGGGCTGGGCCTGGTGCCCCAAGGTGTGAGGTGGAGCTAGCAGCAGGGCTTGCGCAAGGCGCCATTCCCCCCCCAACCACCACATACACCCAGGACAAACGACCCTGTCTGTCTAGGTCTGATCCTGCATCCTGTCGCCCCTCCCCCCTTCCTGTGTACTTTATGCACGTTTATTCTAGGGGAAGTGGCAGCGGGCCGCAGCCATTGCCATGTGCACTGGTGGCCTAGGATGTGTGTTGGGTTGGCCTATGGATTCTCTTAGCTATGGCAGGCGTTCCCACCATACATGAACTTGCCTATTTGCTTTCCCTCCTCCCCTTGAGGGAGCGGAGTTGGGGCATTAGCGTGGCAGCTGCAGTTTTTTTTTGTAAGCACTTTTTGTAAAGCAGCTGATTTAAAGTTACTTTAGACCGAGAAGCCTGGCAAACTAGTTGGAATAACTTAAGTCATAAGGTACCATGCTACAAGTTTTTCATGGGAGGCAGGTTCCCAGTAAGCCCAGGGAGGGAAAGGCAGACAGAGACAAAGGACACATGGTGAGACCGTGGAGGAAGAAGAAAAGGTGTCCTGACATCTTAAGTAAGGAGGGGAAGGCAGAGCCTGGAGGCATGACACACACCTTTGGGATTAGCCATCACCTGTGTCTCTAGGTCGCTCCCATTGACTGGTACTGGAACACTTTCAGCAACATGAAATCTCCATTCTCCAGCCACTGTCTCAGGAAAAAAAGGGGCATTAGACAGGGGGCGGAAAGAGAAGCAGTCATCAGATGCCATAATCAAACAGGACTCCCACAACATAGCATGACGTGTACCTGAATAAACTCCGGGTTTGGTCTCAGTCCACAGGGAGGGAACATGAGCTCCCCGGAGCCGGAATTGCCATTAGGCCAGAGTTGGCAAGGAGTGGTTGGTGTGGCACCATGATGGAAAAGTCCTTCAGGGAGATAGGAAGAGACAGGCAGCCTGAGCAGCACAAGAAGTCTGCTTACATGGGGAAGGAGGAGGTTCGGGAGAGGAATTGGTTGATTCAGAAACTGGTTTAGAGGCTAATAGCATCTGTGCAAGGGAACAGGAAGTGCAGAAGGAGGGTTTAGTGTGGAGAAAGGAAAAGGATTGGGTATAGGGTATTTCCTTCTATTTACCAGCATGCTCATGGAAATTGTGTAAGTCCCTTAAAATATTGGGATTGAAAGTGCCATTAAGTGGCCATTTGGAGGCACTGTCTAATGGGTATTGAGGCCAGGCCTGACTACAGAGAAAAATGAGCTTTTGTGGCTTAAGATCAGGTGTTAGGTAGAGGGGCCCAAGGTTGGCCAGGAGACATCCCAATGGGGAGTCTGAAGGAATTTGGGATGGTCCAACTCCCATGGTGAGGCCTGACCTGAGGAGAGATATGGTGAGTGTCCCCAAAATATCAGGTCGTCGAGAGAGAGAGAGAGAGAGAGAGAGAGAGAGAGAGAGGGAGAGAGAGAGAGAGAGAGTAGATGTGGAGTACCCAGAGGGAACGTCTTCACCATGGGGGTCCATGGTTCTTAGTGGGGAACCCGGTTCCCAGGGACGGGAGCGAGCCAAGACCTAGTGCTAGGATTTCGAGGAAATGGGAAAGAGATCACGGCTCTGCATGTGAGAAGGAGTCACTGAGAGAGGACCTTGAGGGAAGATTGGCCGGTGGTGGATGGCAATTGGAGGCACACTGGGGTGGAGGAAATTCCCTGTGAGCTGTGAGAGAGTGGTGTTTTCTAGGATTGGGGGTTCCGGCAAAGCAGCTCAGATCCCAGAGGAAGGGAATGGGAGTTGAGAGAGAGAGAGAGAGGGATGGGGTGGGGGAGGCTGGAAGAGCAAGGTCAATGCCAGGAGTGCACCCCAATCCAAGTCACAGCACCAAATGTTAGGAAAAACGCCGCTCACAAAGAAAGCTCACAAGAAAAGTCTCATGTCCAAGAGCAAAGTTTAATGGCAGGCCCAAACTGCCAGGCTGGCTGGGGAAAAGATGGTGCAGCAGTGATTCTGGGCCAGGCATTGCTTTTATAGAAGGGGGAGATTGAGGAAGTTAGCCCATGCACGGTAGTCTCTGGTAGGGGTGGTGCTGTCTTAGAGTGTGGGAATTTGTTAAGGGCGGGGCTGTCCTTGGAAGTTTCTCAAGTGAGGACTGAGGATAAAATGGCTGCTGATTTATAAATGGCGACATTATTGTTCTATCAGCTATCATGTTACAAATGGTTATTAGGAAGCTTAAAAAGACAGTGTAAAATAAAACAATGATAAACACAATAATACAGTTATATCTACAGTACATTATTAGTTTACTTTGTAAACTTTTTCAGAGATATGCAAACTATTTTCTATTTAGTATGGTTTAATATACATTGATTATGACACATTTATTTCTTCTGGATACAGAAGGTAAAATTAAGAGAACAGTTCATCTTATTGGTTTGTAAAATGAAGAACTCCTTTACATATCTGGGTAAGAGCAATAACTAGCAATTCCACAATGATTTTTACTATTTCTTGCCATTCGAATATATCCTTGTTCACCAAAGTGGAGGCCCCAGCTTTAGGAAAAAAAAAACACAAAATTATAAATTAATACAATAAAATATCAGCTTTTTTTTTTTTGATGTAATCAGTTTGATCTCAGGGCTTCATGCTTGCAAAACAGGCACTCTATTGCTTGAACCACACCTCCAGCCCATCCATTTTGCTTTGGTTATTTGGGGGTGATGTCCCACAAATTATTTGCCCAGGCTAGCCTTGTGCTTTGATCCTTCAATCTTGGCCTCCCAAGTAGCTAGGATTATAGGCGTGACCACTAGTGCCTGGCTTCATATCAACTTTTTATCTCTTTGTTCTAAAGTGATTTCATATGAAACACTATAAAACAAAATTGGGGGAGGGGGCTGTCTTAAATTCCTAAATTGGCTAAATTACCTGGGGAAATTATTACACTACCACTTGAACCACACTCCCAGTCCTTTTTTGCTTTAGTTATTTTTCAGATAGAGTCTTACATTTTTGTCTTGCAGACCATTAGCCTCCTATCTATGTTTCCTGTGTATCTGGGACCATGTTGCATTAGTCACATGCCAGCACTGCCCAGCTGAGATGGGTTGAGATGGGATCTCATTAACTTTTTCCCCAGGCTAAGCCTTGAACCTTGATGCTCTTGATCACAGCCTCCCAAGTAATTAGGATTACAGGCATGAGCCACTAGTACCTGACTTATTTTAAGCAATTTTCAGTCTAGTTTGGAAGGTTTTAGTTCTGTAGTGTTAAATAGACATAATACCTAAGAAAGACAATGTAAGGTCCATTCCAGTCCTTTAATGCTCCTGCTTTGTAAATATTATTGGTATATTGTAAATATTATTTATAAGACTCCACTTCTAAATGGTTTTGCACAATACAATCATAGGTAAGATTTTCTAACAGACTTAAAATCCTCTAGAGAACATCTTTTAAGAATCATTTTTGAGTGACTACTATGAAAATGTCATAGGACAAGGAATTCTACAGTAAATGATAAACAATGCAGTTCTGAACATCTGGAAATGGATAGGACTTTATCATAATTAAAGCTGTCAAGAAAATAGAGTATGCTATTTTATGAGGAGGTAAACTCCCTGACACTGGAAGTTTTCAAACTTGTGTAACTTGTCAGAAATGTTACAGAGTGATTCCTGGATCAGAAAATAGAAGCTGGGCACCCTTGGCTCATGGCTGGGAGGCAGAGATCAGGAGGAATGCAGTTCTCAAGACCTAATACAAAAAAGGGCTGGTGGAGTGTTTCAAGTGGTAGTGTGCCTGCTTAGTAAGAATGAAGACCTGAGTTCGAACCCCAGTGCTGCCAAAAAAAATTAAAAAGAAATTAGTTAGATGAAACCAATTGTTTATTCATTTTTTGATTCCATAGATGTAGAGGATTTAAACATTTTTTTCAGACTGATATGAACTAATTTTTTAATTAGCATGTTTGGATATAAGGATTATGAACTATTTATTATCACCATGTTGTTAAAGAAATGACATTTAACACCAAAACAAACAAACAAACAAAAAAAAGATAGAATCTTAAACTTAAGGATAGACATTTGAGTCAAATAAATTTAGATTTATGAAAACCTCTGAAGTTATGATTCTGAGATTTTGTAATTTTTAGTTATACATAATTATTATATGAGGCAGAATTCATTAAGTGCTATAACTAGGATACAAATAAAAGCATGAAACTGAGAAAATTCTTAGTGTGGTTGGAGGGCAATGAAAAATTACAATGGTGGCGGTGGCCTCCTGCTGGCTGCTGATTCTGCCCCAGGCTGCGTGGGGCTTCAGGCTGCAGGTGGCACCAAGTAGGGAGAAGGTCATGAACACCAGCCAGGTCTATGATGATAAAGACTACAGGAGAATTCAGTTTTAGGTCGTCAGAAAGAGGTGAGTAAAAACTTTGCCACTGATTTTATAGCAGAGCAACCTGTGAGTGAGGTGGACCATCCAAGGATATCCTGCGATAGTGGTGGGGGTGCTCTGGGCCACCCCAAGGTGTAAACTTGGACAAAGAAACAAAAACGGGGACATGTGGCTACTGTGCCCTGCAGTTCAAGCAGCACTGTCACTAGTATGGGCCGCACCCTGGCATCTGCATGGATGGAAACATATTCACGTGGGCATGCCGCAAGGGCCACCACTCTGTGAATGGTGTGTGTTCCTAGTGCTGAATAAAGGGTGGCCCCACCGCAAAGAAAAAAAAAAGAGTTGAAAGGAAAATGGTATAATTTAATGGTGTAGTTGAAAAGAAAATGCTCTAAGGGGTCTTAAATATTCTATGTATCAACCCTATATGGACATTTTCCTTTTCATTTATTTATTTATCTATTTATTTTGCTGTACTGGAGTTTGAACTCAGGGCCTACAACTTAAGCCACTCCATCAGCCCTTTTTTATGATAGATTTTTTTCGAGATAGGTCTTACCAACTATTTCCTGGGGTTGGCTTTGAACCTCAATCCTCCTGATCTCTGCCTCCTGAGTAGCTAGGATTATAAGTGTGAGACACCAGGCCCTGGGCTCCACACAGTTTTCTGCTCCCATCTTAGTTCTCTTTGGCTTTATGACCCTCCTATTGTCGTGATCTTCTGGTCTTTCTGGTCACTCCTCAGATTCTTTCTTGGGTCCCTTTTGTTGTTCCTTTCACTTACTTGCCACTCTTTAGCTTAAAAACCTTTCATGGGTCTCCAGTTCCATTCATGGGATGGAGAGGGGTGGTTGAGTTGCTGGGGATGGAACCCAGGGCCCTAAGCATGCTAGGCAGGTGCTTTACCTTTTGAGCCACATCCCCAGAGTCTTGCTAATTTCTTTAAAAGAATGCAACTGATTAAAACTCTTAATTTGAGGACAAATTCTTGTCTTATGACTTGTACAAAATGAATCCTTTGGGGAACCTAGAATTCTTATGCATGGTCAGTCTTTCCTTGTTAGGACTTAGTGTTAGCAACAGCTGTGGTCTTTTGTCATTTGGCTCCACTCTATATCACATCTTTGTCTAACAGGCACCCAAGACTACAACCCTTAGCAAAGTACATACAGTTCCCTCAACTCATTTCTTTTTCTTACCTCTGTTCTTTTGCTCATTTAGCTTTCTTGGCTCTGATTGCCCTTCTGCACCTGGCTAACTCTGCCTAGTCCTTTAATATTTAGTCAAATAGCCTAGCTTAAAAGGCCTTCCCTGACTAGGCAAGGCTAACTACTGGTCTTCTATTCTTCCACTGCAACCAAAGCATGCCCTGCCTAAGCATTTATCACACTTGGTTGCTGTGGTCTGTACATGCACCTTACCTATTCCCTTGACATTATTAGGCTGTGAGTATCTTGAGAGGGCTGGAGGAGTGACTCAGGTGGTAGAGCACCCACTAGCAAGCATGAAGCCCTGAGTTCAAACCCCAATACACCAAAAAATAAATGTTTCCAAAAAAAAAAAAAGTATCTTGAGAGATGGTAGGAAAGTTGTAGTTCTCATTGCCAAATTCCCAGTCCCTGGCACATGGTAGATACTCAATTTATGTTTGCTGAATCAATGTATGAACAAAGGTGCAAGAATGAACAAAATACTATCCTCTTACCTTTAAGAAGTTTACATTCTAGTGATGGAGCAAGAGTTACAGAAATAGCTATAACACAGGGCATAACAAATTTATAAAGCATTGCTAAAGTTTAGAATTAGAAATAATTATGAGTTAAATGAATGAATATAGCAGAGGTAGCATTTGAGATAGGTTTTAAAGAATGAATAGGATTTTTATTTTGTTTTGTTTTTGGTGGTACTGGTGTTTGATCTCAGGGCCTCGAGCTTGCAAGGCAGGTGCTCTACCACTAGAGCCACTCTACCAGCCCTTGTTTTGTTTTTTTGAGACAGGGTTTTGCTATGTAGCCCAGGCTAGCCTTGAATTCAAGATCCTCATGCCTTAGCCTCCCAGGTGATTAGGATTTTTCCTTTCTTTTCTTTCTTTTTTTTTTTTTTTTGTAGTACTGGGGTTTGAACTCAGGGCCTCATGCTTGCTCAAGGATTTTTTTCTGAACTCAGGACTTAACATTTGCCAAACAGGCACTCTACCACTTGAGTCTTACCTCCAATCCATGAATAGGATTTTTAATGACTTTTTAAACTTTTAAAATATAACTTCTTAAAAGACAATTTTGAAAACATTCAAAGATAGACAAAGACAAACATTTGGTACAACTGAATTATGAATTTGATATTCTTCCTTTTTTTTCTTTTTAACACTATGTAGTTCTGGCTGGCTTCAAACTCACTATGTAGTCCAGGCTTGCTTTGAACTCATGATCCTCCCTTCTCTGCCTCCTGAGATTACAGGAATGTGCCACAACCACTCCCAGCTTCCTTCTGGTTGTTTAGTAGATACATGAGAGATGTTAGACCTACTTTTTTTAACTTAATACTTACATTGCATATAAATTACATATTTATATGTATTTTTCCATTTAAACATATATAAAGTATTTTGTTAAGTTATTAATAATAATCTTAATAATTCTAATTCATGGATTTGATTTCATTATTATTAAATCTTGTTTCTATCGGGCACTCTTGGCTGCTTAAGAGTTTTCACTATTAAAGAATAATAATATAATTTACATAAACTGGGTATGAAGATTTTTCTCATATTTACAATTATTTTCTTTGTATGGATTCCAAGAAGTAAAAATAACAGGACAAAGAATGTGGACACTTATTCATACTGTTAGTCGCTTTCAGGAAGGTTTGTAATGATTTATTCTCCTGCCAGATGGGATGAGACTGCCTGTTTCACTATCTACAGGGGGATTTCTGTAGGCAGCAATGGGCTTCAAAGATATTTCAGAAAGGTTAAACAGCTATACAACGAAACAGAAATGGGTAGATATCTATTAACTTAGGGGATGATAAGAACATGGTTTAGTTTGACCAGAGTGTGAATATGGGTATGGATGTATGAGAATATAATGGAAGAATTACCTAGAACACTGTGTTGGAAGTCAGAAATTTAATTTAATGAAGAAATTTAAGTGCCTGGTTAGGCATTTGGACTTAATTTTGCTAACAATGGTGAAATATTTAGATATTTTTGAGCATGTGTTGACATGACCTATATTTTAGAAAAATATCTCTCAAACTTGGTGGAATAGAATCTGAAGTAGAGTGGGGCTACTGGAAATGGAAAAGAGAAAATCCACATAAAATATGACTCAGAGGCTGACTGGATAAGGCTGTGTAGGAGAGCCCTGTGAGGGAGAGAAAGGGGAGCCCAAATTGATGCCAAGTCTTTAATAATCTGAAGATGGTGATACATACCCATAATAGGCAATGATTTTCCATTGAGCATGTTCTAAAGTCCTTTTTGGGGATAGGAGATGAAGGGAGAGTTGGGATGTAGGGAGACAAGGAATTTTTACAACTGTTGTGTGTGAAAGTGCTTGTGTATGTTGAGTGGGTAGGGAATTTGGATTTTTCAGCACAGTTGCTACGTTGGAAGTTGGACAGAAAGTCTGTTGCATAGCAGAGAGGTCATTTGTAGAGATTATAAGCCAGGAATCATCCACATAGTGGCAACAGTTGGAACTCAAGGAGCAGTCCTGAGTTTTCTTTGGTATATCATACCCATAAAAAGGACAGGTAGAAGGAAATAAAATAAAAACAGAGGCTTAAGATGATGTGGTGAAATGAGTCAAGATAATTCCATGTCACAGAAATAAGGGCAGTAAAGCATTTATAAAGCAGAGAAATTTCTGTGCCATTTGTATGTGGTTTTTTCCAACCTTGAACACAACTTCCTCCTCCAAATTAGGACTCCGCTCATCTGAAAGCAGTGCAAATGGTGCCCTCTAGTGGAGCTTTAGGGAGTTAAGCATCTCTTCCTCCCTGGTCCCACAGCCATTTGGACATAGACCACCATTACCATGATGTGTTGCTTTTAAATATATGGAATTCCACTTTGGATTGTGAGCAACTTCAGGACAGGATGATTTCTTATTCATTTTTTTAAATCTCCAGGGCCTAGATAATGGCCGTCACATTGTAGATGCCTAAGGAATGCATAGTGCAGAGAAGAGGTTCTACGCTTCAGCACTAAAATACAGAGATGCACTTCAGGAAGAGCAGCTTCAATAGAGGAGACAACTTAGAACATTTACTTATGGAGTCCTTTAGGCTGTTGGTAAGATAAGAGGCAAAGTATTGCATTTCTAAAAACTTGTCACTTGCCAGAGGCGGGTCTCAAGTGGTACAGCACCTGCCTAGCAAATTCAAGGCCCTGAGTTCAAACCCCAGGACTGCAAAACACAAACAAGGAAAGAAAGCTGTCATTGGTCCATATCTAAGCTGGTAAATGCCGTGAATGGATTATAAGGAACCACGATATGAATTTCCTCAGCTACTTTCCCAACGGACCATACAAATGTTACCATTTTCTATGTGTGCTACAACATGAAAAAGGCAATAAAATATTGTTTTGTTTATTTATGATTTATACAGTATGTGCTTTCGGTAAAGATTTGAGAGTATTGTGGGTTGAGTTGTGTGTGCCCTCCTAAAATTCATGCTGGAATTATTCCCCCAGGGCCTCAGAATGTGACCTTATTTGGAAATAGGGTCACTGTAGATGTCACTAGTTAAATAAAGATGAGGTACCAGAGGCAATTTCTCATGTCTGTTGTCCTAACTACTCAGGAGCCAGAGATCAGGAGGATCAGGGATCAAGGTCAGCCTGGGTGAAAAGTTTGAAAGACTCCATCTCAATCAATGGCTGGGCAGAGTATTGTGCACCTCTCATCCCAGCTACATGGGAAGTGTAAATAGGATGATCACAGTCTAGGCTGGTTGGACATAAATGTGAGATCCTAGTCAAAAAATAACAAAAGTTGGTCTGGCAGAGTGGCTCAAGTTGTGGAGTGCCTGCCCAGCAAGCATGAGACCCTGAGTTCAAACCCCAACATCACCAAAAAAAATTTTAATACAAAAAATAACAAAAGCAGCCCTGCGCCGGTAGCTCACACCTATAATCCTAGCTACTCAGGAGGCAGAGATCAGGAGGATCTCGGTTCGAAGCCAGCCCCGGGCAATTAATTCCACGAGACCCTATCTCGAAAATACCTAACATAAAAAAGGGCTGGTAGAGTGGCTCAAGGTGTAGGCCCTGAGTTCAAGCCCCAGTACCACTAAATAAATAAATAAATAACAAAAGCAAACAGGGCTGGAGGTATGAGTCAAGTGGTAGAGTGCCTGCCAGGCAATCCCAGAGTTCAAACTCTAGTACTGCAAAAAAAAAAGAAAAAAAAAAGAGGTCCTTAATTTGTCCCTAATCCAATAAGACCAATGTGTTATAAAAAGGAAAAATTGGACAGAGAGTCATGCACACAGGGAGAACACTATGCAAAAATGAAGGCAGAGATGAGGGTGCTGCTTCTACAGGCCAAAAAAAGCCAAAGTTGCCAGCAAACCTTCAGGCTAGGGGAGAGGTATTGAACATTTTCTCTTTTAGGAGGTACTAAGATTTAAACTTAGGGTTTCATGCTTACTAGGCAGGCACTCTACTACTTGAGTCACACCTCCAGCCCTTCTCCCCTTTTTTAAAAATTAACATATTCAATTAAAAAATACTATATATCTAAAGTGTACATTGATGAATAGTACACATTGTGTGATAATAAGCACAAACAAGTTAATGAACACATTCATCACCACCTATGCTATATACAAGATCCCCAGAAATTTTCATCTTACAACTGAAGGTCTGTATCCTTTGGTCAACATTTCCTCTACCCCCGGTCTCTAGCAACCACTATCCCACTCTGTTTCTATGAGTTTGACTTTTTCAGATTCCACGTGTAAGATCATATGGTATTTTTATTTCTGTGTCTGTGAACATTTTCCTCCTCCTTAGCATTACCCTGCTAAGGTTTTGTCTCTGACTTCTAACTTCCAGAATTAGGGGGACACAAATTTCTCTTAAGTTACTAAGTCTGTGTTATTCTGTTATGGCAGGCCCAGGAAACTAACAGAGGAAACTTTAAGTGCTCCACGTGCTTGAAAGTCTCAATTCTTCATATTCCCCCCTTTTCCCTTTAAAATTATATTCCTTTCACTTATGAATTATATATCTGTCAGTTCAATTCATGTATTGGAGGAATGACTAGCTGCCACTAGTACTGTGGTGAGGATAAAAGACATGACACAATCTCTACCTCAAACCATACACAAGGGCTGGAGACTTGGCTCAAGCGATAGAACCCCTGTCTAGCAAGCACAAAGCCCTGACTGAGTTCAAACCCCAGCACTGTCAAAAAAGGAAAAAGACATCAAATGCATATACAAAATATTGGAATGATAGCCAGGTAAACATACAATTTAAATTTAATGTATAAAATGCTGTGATCTAGTATCCATAGCATACTTTGGCAGCATACAAAAGAAGACACTTTATTCATCCCAAGTATTCAGAGATCTTTCTAGAATAGATGATGCCTGAGCTGCTTTTGAAAGCAAAGGAGGAACAAACCAAATGAGGAGAAAGGGTATTATAGACCGAGAGAAAACATAACTAAGAAGATATTCCAGGTAAGACAGTATGACTGTGTAGATGAACTATAATTAAAGTGAAAAGTATGAGATAACAAATGCCAGGAGGCTTGCAAGGCAGGGAAAGACTACAACAGAGAAACCTTGTCTTCTCTACTAGTGAACATTACCTTTACATTGAATGATACCAAGCAGAACAGGAATAAGCCCAGACCAATACTGTGTTAGACAAATCCATTTAGCAACAGTATAAAAGATGGATTTGATGGGTTTGTTTGTTTGTTTTGTGGTATTGGGGTTTGAACTCAGGACCTCATGCTTGCTAGGCAGGGCAGGCGCTCTACCACTTGAGCCACTCCACCATTTGAGAGTAAAGGAGACCAGTTAGAAGGTTCAGCAATAATCCAGAAAAGAGATGTCTGAACTAGAGCAGCAACAGAATAAGTGGAAAAAGAACAGAATCAGGAAAAAAAGCATAAGGAAAATTTATTTTGACTTGTTGCTTGATTGGACCTGGAAAGGTGTAGGTTGGCTCCTCAGTGTCTTATTGGTGACTATGTTGTGTGATGTTGTCATCTACTGATATGGGAAATTCTGAGGGGCTGGGTGGAAGAGAACTAAATTCCTTGGACATAATGAGTTTGAAGAAATTCAGAATAGGTAAGTAGATATGACCAAATAAGTCTGAAGTTCTGGGCAGATGTTCAAGCTAGAGATAGACTTGATAGCTATATAGATATGGCTAATTTCATAAGAATGGAATTATTGAAAAATATAGACTAAGAAGGACAATGGGCAGAGGTTGGATCCCTGGGAGGGAAATACCAACATTTAGGGGCTTAAACAGAGGAATAGGCATTCATCAGAGGGACTGATAAGGAATAATTAGAGAAGTATTGCACAAGGTAATTATAAAAGCAAAGAGATGAAGGCCAGATAGTAAGTGGAGAAATGGGGGCACTGAGTAATTTAGAATGTCATTTTGCAAGAAGCTATAGATGTTTATCATTGTCAATACCAGGATCATTATCATCACAATCAAAGGGCACATTTGTTGACATTCCCTCAAATTCCTGATTTAATTAAATAGAAATTACTGTGCAAATACATTACCTATTTTTCACAAGCCAGTAGTCTTTCCCATTAGTGTTACCATAGCCAACCACCAGCACACCATGATTCACATTCTGAGTACAGGCTGGGTCATCATAGACACCTGAGAATAAAATTTCATTGCAGAAAAAGAGTGAATACTATATGATAATAAAAGATATTTGAAAGTTCTATTACTTCTTATTAGAGTATTTTGGACATGTGAAAGATTAATTAAAATATCAGGAACATATACACTCATGCTTAAACTATTTAGAGCTCATAATTCTTTGGCATCAAGGCCGCATTTGTCAGTTTTCTTGACAAGTTTAGCATCAATTCAATCACAGTTCCCTCAGAAAACTTCTTTGCTAAGCTATCACCTTTTTCTAATTGTTTTAATCTATATACAGTTATTACATTTCCTTGTATATAATAATAAATTGTTTCATACACTTTTACCCCTTTCTAAATTAAATGTCCTTTAAGGTGAGGTTTCAAATATATATTATAGCTGGGCACCAGTGGCTCATGCCTGTATTCCTAGCTTCATGGGAGGCTGAGATCTAAAAGATCACAATTCAAAGCCAATCTGAGCAACAGTTCATCCATCTCTAAAATAACCAGAGCAAAATGGACTGGTGGTATGGCTCAAGCAGTAGTATGTCTGCAAGTGTTGAAGCCCTCTCTGAGTTCAAACCCTGGATCCCACAAATTAAAATAAAATAAATAAAATAAAATATTATAGTCTTTTACTTTGTATAGTGCAGTATTCTACCTTTAAGCATTACAATTATTATTATTATTATTAATTTTGTGATACTGGGGATTGAATTTAAGGCTTTGAGCTTTCTGACAATGCTCTACCTTTAGTGGGAGCACAGGAAACATGTTATTTAGCTCTATATAATTGTATGTCCTTTTCTAAAAGTGTCACAGTATTAAGTGCCCTCTATACACTGCTGTGATACAGCTATTCTATAGGAGTTAAGATCACAAGCTTAGGAGTCATGTTGAATATGTTTGTTGCTGTTACTATTATTGTTCAAATCCTTTATCTTTAACTGCTACATAGAAACATAAAAGTTGTACATATTTACAGGATACCATGTGATATTTTAGTACATGTATACATTGCCTAATGTATAAATCAAGCTAAACATATCTGTCTCTTTAAATGCTTTTCTTTCATATGAAAACATTTAAATTCCTTTCTTCTAGCCTTTTGAAATACACACTACATTATAATTATCTATAGCCATCTTTTTTTTTTTCATTTACTCATATGTGGATACAATGTTTGGGTCATTTCTCCCCCTCACCCCCTTTGTTTGTTTTTTTGAAACTGGGTTGCTCTATATAACCTGGGCTGGCCTTGAACTTGTGATCCTCTTGCCTCTACCTCCTGAGTGCTGAGATTACAGACATGAACCAGCACACCTTGCTTTTCCATAGTCTTTTTTTTTTTTTTTTGTGGTACTGGGGCTTGAACTGAGGGCCTTCACCTTGAGCCACTCCACCAGCCCTATTTTTTTGTGAAGGGTTTTTCAAGATAGGGTCTAGTGGAACTATTTGCCCAGGCTGGCCTCAAACTTGTCATCCTCCTGCATCCTGGGATTATACTTGTGCACCACCACGCCCAGCAGTTGCATAATTTTTAATCCCAGCTCAATCACTTTCAGGTTGTGTGATTTTAGGTAAATTAACCCCTCAGTGAGGTTTTTTTTCACTTGAAAATGATTATTGTGATGATTAAATAAGATAAGACATAAAGAATTTAGCATAGCATGTGGCATGTAGTGTTAAAAACTTTAATAATTATTACTTTACTAATTAAAACTGAGTGTAAACTTCTGTTTAACCTATGTGGAGGGTAGCATGTAACAAGAGGATGACATATCAATTTTTACCACTTCTGTAGAGGAAGAAGGAAGGGTGACTTGCATCTATAGCCACAGACACAGGTCCTTTATTGGCAACAGCTTCTTTCAGGGCATCTTCATTGCCAGAGGGAAGTTCTGTGTACCTTGAACATGTGGCAGCTCGATTTTTTGAATCATAATGACACTTTTCATCCTAGGAAGAAAGAAAAAAATTAAATCAGATGAAGAAGCACACTTCAGTATGTCAGTTTCCTTTATAAATCACCAGTATAAGCCTGGATTTCAAATGTTATCTTTCCTTGCTTTAACATTTTTAAGTGATCCCTTCCCCTTTTTTTTTTTTTTTTTGTGATACTGGAACTCAGGGCTTCACTTGCTAGGCGATGCTCTGCCACTTAAACCACATCTCCAGCCTTGGCCACTTCCTTTTAATGAAAGCAAAATTAAATCATTCAAGTCCCAATACTTCCGGGTTTCATCAATAATAGAAGAAAAGCCAGGCAGGGTGGCACATGTCTGTAATACCAGCACTTGGAAGGCAGAGGCAGTAGGCTCCTGAGTTTCAGTCAAGGCTGGGCTACCTAGGGAGACCTCCCATCTCAAAGAAAAACAATACCCCAAATCTAACCAAACAAAAAGCTCTCAGAGGAAATATAGGACTTTTCTACAGTTTTAAATTGTGAAATATCTTCAAACAAGCAAAACTTGTCAGAACAATATCTCCTCAGACTCTGAAGTATATTGTAGGAGGGTATTACACAGAGATCATAAACTTTACACTAGAACTGAACAATCTTTTTGATGATGTGATGCCTGCAAGACAAGCTACAGTTAAAGTGGTGGCTCATCAAGACCACACAATAGTATATTTCAGGTGGGAAAAGGAGGTTACAAATATGTTTGTTGTATACACAACTATGTTTTAAAATTAGGGAAAGAGCCTGACAGAAATAAGCTAAATAATAGTGTTTAAAATATAGTGATAATAGAGTGATGTTTTTGTCTTTTCTAAATTTTCTGTAATATGGTCTTATTTCTTCTACCATTTAGCTGTGTAATTGACATACATGGAAGAGAATATTATTGAACATCTTAGGTGGAAGAACCAACTGACTGATGTTCTGAGAATAAGGCTGAGCACGGGACAAAAATGTTTAAATATTAATAGATGCACAGAAAGGATTTTACAGATGGTTTGGTTAAAGTATGAGTTTAAATATGAAGGTACCTTACTTGTTTAAAAACATTTTGCCACTGATAATCCCTCTTCTGCCACAGGGGATTAAACCCAGAGTAAGCTAAGTAAGGGCTCAGCCATGCCCCCATTTATTTATTTATTTATTTATTTATTTATTTATTTATTTGTGGCAGTTCCAGGGCTGAGCTCAGGCCCTTACATTTGATAGGCACACACTACCACTTAAGCCAGACCACTGGCCCTTTTTTGCTTTAGTTATTTTTCCAATAGAGTCTCACTTATTTCTGCCTGGGATGGCCTGGACCACAATTCTGCTACTCGTGCTTCCTGTGTAATTGGAATGACACAATACCATGCCCAGCTTTTTATTGGTTGAACTGGGGGGGTCTCACAAACTTTTTGTTCAGACTGGCCTTCTTGCCCAGAGAAAGTAGCTGGGATTACAGACATGTACCACCATGACCAACTACCACTGAAAATTTAAGGCTACTGCTGTAAAAGAAAGAGAACTCTTGAGAACTCTTCCTAACAGGAATACTCTCTCTCTCTCTCTCTCTCTCTCTCACACACACACACACACACACACACACACAACATTGCTTCTCAAGCATTTGAGTTGGTAGTGCATCCTGGAGTCAATGGATAGAATGAGGTCATGGGACAGCACAAAAAGTTTGCCTGTGACACACCATGGCTTTGTAGGGATAGGAAGCATCTGAATCAATGCCGTTGTTATCAATGATGTATTGAAAAGCTTCTGTCATGAAGCCACCATTGCAGCCTTTATTCCCGTATTTATCAGTTGCACAATCCACCAGGTTCTGTGCACTCAGAGACACCAGCTTTCCTGTTTTCAGCTTCAGTTGTGCTTCTAGCGCTCCCACGGCACTGAAAGCCCAACAAGCACCACAAGAACCCTAAAACAGAGACAAGGTGACAGATGTAATGACAGAAAATCAGTAAGGATGGCTTCCATAACAAACTGGGTAACTTCTCAACCATGTTGCCTCTGTTAGTAGTTACCAGGAACAGCTCCCCCACTACTCTCTTGGATAATGGGAAAGAAGACTAAATTGATTGTTCTCTAGGTAACCTTGATGGAGATTTGCAATGACTGATCTCAGAGCATAATGGGCATATTCAAGTGTATTAATAGTATTCACTAAACAAATCCCACCTATCTTCACCTGTAAGGAAGGGAGATAGATGTCTACAGTAAAGAGGTTTTGGGAGGCGACAGGAGGATTTCCTTCTCCTAAAGTATCCTTCCTCAGGTCAAATGATGGCTCAAACATAAGAGCTTAAATCCTTGTCTAACAGTTTTCAAACATCATTATCTTTAGAATTTTTTGAACAGCTAGGTGTGGTGATATATACTTGTAATGCCAGTACTTGGGAAGTGGAGGCAGGAGGACCTCAAATTAAGGCCAGCCTGGGCAATATAGCGAGATCCAGGTCAGCCTGAACTACTTACTGAGACTGTTTCAAAAAAAAATTTTTTTTTACTCCAAAGATATTTTGCAAAGAGGCATAAACAAACAGAAAAAAATGCAAGGCTGCTTTAGTTAGGAAATGCGAGAGTCCAGAGCCTCATTGTAACTACTTGAACTTTCTCTCTCTGTCTCTCTTTCTCTTTGCTTTTACTTGAGACAGGGTGTTGCTACTTTGCTCAGACTGACCTCAAACTCATGATCCTCATGCCTCGGCCTCCTTACTGCTGGGTACAGGCCTCCCTGTACCTGCCGCCTCTGTTGTTTGTTTTTCTTCCTCCTATCTTACTGCCTACACAGAAGAAGCAAGTTGGAATTGTTTTTGGTTACAGCAAATCTGGTCACCAAAATGCAAGTATTCAGGGAAAGGAGCTCATTAAATCACTAGAGTTAGCACCTAAGTATGTAGTTCATCAGTCTTCCAAACTTTTATTTTAGAGGAGCTTCAGTAGGAACCCCAAAACTAATTTAAAGAAATATGGAGTGGGAAAGAGTGAGAGCTTGGCAGTACTACTCATTCTTAATACATTTTTTATTTCTTCATTGGTCACAAGCTGGAGTTGATGCTCAGAATGTTCAGAACTCTCTGATTCGTCACCCTTACCCTGATCTCTAAGGTGACACATGTGTTTAACCCTTAGTTATTTCTAACTAAGTAGGGATTTTATTTTATTTTTTGAGATAGGGTCTCACTATGTAGTCCAGGGTGTTCTCTAACTCATGATCCTCCTGACTGCCTCCTAGTGCTGGGATTACAGACCTGCACCACTACATCCAGTTTATCCATCCTTCCTTCCTTCCTTCTTTCCTTCTTTCCTTCTTTCCTTCCTTTCTTTTCTACAAGCAAACTAATGGAAAATACAACACGTTAGGCACAACAATTTTATGAAGCACACATTTCTTCTGAAATGTGTGCAAATCTACCTATGAATTAACCTGACTGGTTCCATGTAGTCCACTGTAGCTGGACTTCTTTATTCTGTTCCTTCAAATCTGAAATTCATAAGTTAGATGGAGAAAGACACTTCCAGGATTTCTTCATAAGCATGATGGTGCTTCTCAAGCAATTGGCTTGATGGAGGGTCCAGGGCAGTCAGCAGATAACATGAGCACTAAGGGTTTGTCTTACAGACCTATTCCCATATTTTGCAGTTTTTATCTAAGATGGTGTGTTTAGAACTACTGGTGTTGTAAAGCACTGGGAATAATAAAGTGCACATAATAAAATATGTGATCCTTGCCCTTAAGGAGTTTACAGTTCAGTTGGGAATACAAGAATAACAAAAGCTTCCAAATTATGTAGCTAGACATAGGAAGAGAGCTGTGCCTAGGGTGCAGGGGCCTGGGACAGTCATACTCACCTGGTATTTCACCTCCGTAACACAGCCCTTCTCTCTCCAGTCCAGAGAATCAGGCAATTTCTGATTAGGGTTTGACTTGTAGGTAACATTTGTCTGCCACTGGCTGGGAACTTTCAGGGAACTCATCAAAGACATCACTTCTTCACTGGTCTACAAAGCAAGTATATATCCCCTTTCACTCATGTTGTTTTTCTTTTAAACTGGTGACATTCATTTCAATCACAGAATTTAATAAAATTAGAAACGTAAGTGAAGCAATGTAATATTCTTAAACTAAAACAAAATATTTAGTAATCATTGCATTACATTACTCTATTTTATTGTTTTATAACTTTTAATGTGTTTTATTATTCTACTTTCATGCATGCATATAATATACTTCAATCATATTCAACCTCTATATCCTCATTTTAAATATCCTAATAATTGTAAATGTGAATATCTTTTAAAACTGAGGAAAACTAGTGGTGGTTGTGACCAACATATGCACTGTTGATTGGTGGGACAAATTATTTGGGTCTCTTTAGTCTTATACTTTGCATTAGCACCCCAGTTCTCCAAGTACAAGGGAAGGAGAAAAAGAAAATGGTGCAGGGAGGCAGACCTGTGGTTCAAAGCAGGGCAGGATTTTATAAAGGTATTATCTAAAAAGTGGGTCAGCTGGGTGTTGCTGGCTCTCACCTGTAATCCTAGCTTCTTTGGAGGCTGAGATTGGGAGGATTGAGGTTTGAGGCCAGCTCAGGCAAATAGTTCAAAAGACCCCATCTCCAAAATAACCAGAGCAAAAATGGGCTGGAGGTGTGGCTCAAATGGTACAGTGCTTGCTTTTCAAGTGCAAAGCCCTGAGTTCAAATCCCAGTTCCACAAAAAAAAGACCAAACTAAGAGGCCAGGCACAATGGCTTATGACTATAATTTCAGCTACTCAGGAGGTGGAGATTGTGAGGATGGCAATTAGAGGCCAATCTGGGCAAAAAGATAGCAAGACACCCATCTCAACCAATGGCTGGGCACAGTGGCACACTCTTCTCATCCCAGCTGTGCTGGGATGCACAAGTAGGAGGATCACAGTCCAGGCAGGCAGGGGCATAAAACAAGACCCTATCTCAAAAATAACCAGCACAAAAAGGGTTGGGGCATGGCTCAAGTGGCAAAACACCTGTCCTAGTGAGTGTGAGGTTCTGAGTTCAATCCCCAGTACTGCAAAACAAAACCCCACATTCTCCCAATAAGAAAGCAGGTAGACCATATTAAATTGTCAATTTAGACTTATGAAAATAAGGTAACTTAATATAAAAGACTAATCAGTCTTTAGAAAGTGCTTTCTGGAATTCATAAAAAAAGTAAAAGCAATAGTTGTCTGTGAATTTAAAATTTTCTTGAAAGAAGAAATTTATTAAGTACAGTAGTCAAAGTAGAACTAAATAAGAAATTTCTGTACAAATTCTTTTTTTTCCCTTCCTTTCTTTTTCCAGTACTGGGGTTTGAACTCAGGGCTTTGTACTTCCTAGGCAAGTGCTCTACCACTTGATCCATGTCCTCAGCAACCCCCTTTCTTTGCTTTACTTATTTTTCAGATAGGATCTTAGTCCTTCTACCTATGGCTTCCTGAATAATCAGGATGACAGGCACATGCAAGCACACCCAACTTTTTTTGTTGAGATGGGGTCTTTCTGGTATTTTGTCCAGGCTGGCCTCAAACCTCAATCCTCCCAATCTCCATCTTTTAAATAGCTGGGATTACAGGTATGAGCTACCACATCTGGCCTGTACCAGTTCTTGTGTCCTTGAATTCTACTGTTTTCTAACTCTGTAGGCATGTGGCTATATTCTCCTTCCTTTTTTGTTTTTTGTACTTTTGTTTTTATTTTGGTGCTGCAGATCAAACCCAGGGCTTTCCATGTGAACAGCAAGTGCTCTACGTCTGAGCTATACCAGCTCTGGCTATACAGTCTCCTTTGTTCTTGCGTCATCAACATCCTTTACCTTCAAATTGCTTCTGGGGAGACAGAAACCATGCTTACACAGCCATGAAAGTAGAATTATTTTGTACTTTACTTACCATGTCCCCCAGGTGGTTCATGCCTAGATCATATGAATGCATCCCCATTGAATGTTCCAGATTGTGAAGTGTCACAAATTTTAGATTCTTTTCCCAGATGAGACGCCGTACTGCTTCTTCACTCTAAAATACAAGGAAAAAGAACGCAGTTCTATTTCATCCAAATCGTTCAATAAAGAAAACAGCACTTTACAAAGTATTCTACCATATAGAGGTCTGTTTAGAAGCACATGAATAAATAAACCTATCCAATGTAACTGCTAAAATCACATATTATCATAATTCTTGCTTCTAATTGTTTTGATGGTTATTAATATTATCTTAGTGTATACATAATAAATTTCCTCCTTAACATGCAAAACTTTGCTTTATAAATCTTTGATAGGTGGTAAACTCATGTAAGTTTTTTGTTTGCTTGTGTGTTGAGATGGGGTCCAGCTATGTAGCCTAGGTTAGCCTGGAATTTGGATAACTCCTGCCTCAGCCTCCCTAGTTGCTGGGATTACAGGCCTGTGCTACCACATCCAACTTCACACATTTGTAGATCTTCATAAATTTGTTTTCACTCTAGGTCAGGTGTGGTGACTCACCCTTGTAGTTCCAGCTGCTTGGGAGGTGGAGATTGGGAGGATCTCCATTTGAAGCAAGCCCCTGGAAAAAGTTTGAGAGACACCTGCCTCAGCCAATAAGCTGTGTGTGGGTGGTGGAATGTGCCTGTCATCCCAGCTATGCAGGGGGCCTGCCTTGGCAAAAATACAAGACCCTATTTAAAAAATAACTAAACAAAAAAGGGCTGGGGGTGTGGCTTAGTGGTAGACCACCTGCAGTGCAAGGCCCTGAGTTAAATCCTCAGTACTGCCTCCCACTATTTTTATTCTTGATAACCATTTAGATGATTATAAATTTCTAGCTATTTTTCTTCAGTTATTTGAAGATGTTTCTTCAGTGTCTTCAGGTACCTATTGTTGCACATGAGAGGTCTGTTGCCAGTCTAATTATTGTACCTCTGTCTTTAACTGATAGCTTTTGTGATTATTTTTTCTCTTTCTCTTTAATTTTTTTTTTCTGCACTCAGGGCCTCATGCTTGCTAGGTAGGTGCTCAACCATGTGAGACACACCCCCAGCTCTCTTTTGTTTTCTAGTTATTTTTCAAGTAGCACTTTGTGTTTTTGCCCAGTGCTGGCTTCAGACCACAGTCCTCCTACTTATGCCTCTCCCATGTAGCTGGGATCACACACAGCTTGTTGATGGGATGAGGGTCTCCCTAACTTTTTTCCCAGGCTGGCCTTGAACCATGATCCTCCTAATCTCCACCTCCTGAGTAACTGTGATTACAGGTGCAAGCCACCAAATCCAGCCTCTCTTTTATGTTTTGCAACTTCATTATATGTGTCTGGATATAGACTTTTTAATTTACCTTCTGCTGGGAACTCTTGATTTGATGAGCCAGGACCTTTTTGCATATCTGGAAATCTCAGCCAATATCTTTTCATGTATTGCTTCTCCACCATTCCATCAACTTTCTTCCTCAGAAACTCCTATCAGATAGATGCATTTTGGAGCCTTGAACTCTCTTCCATCTTTCTTTCTTGGATTTTCATAGTTTTTTCATTTTATTTCTATGTGCTGCATTCTGGGTGAATTCTTCAGCACTGTTTTCCAGATTACTGATTCTATACAACTGTTTCCAGTCTGGAGTTTATCCCTTTCATTGAATTTTCACTGTGGTGGCTGTATTTTTTTTTTCCAGGATTTCTAATTTATCTCACAATATAATGTTCACTAGATGGGTGTTTTTCCTTTTTGAATAGTTTTTTAAAGTCATTTTTGGTTCTATTATTTTAATTTTACCCAGAGGAATTCATATGCTGTCCATGGATTTCCTTGTTCTCCAGGAGATGCATTTACACACAATACAATGTGCCTCGAATACAAGGCACGAGGTACCTCCCATAACTGCTGAAGGGCCAGGATAAGCTCTAACCAATGAGCAGTGAGCAGCATCTGTTCTGCCCCATTTCATTACATGAGTGAGCCTGACAAAGTATCGCGAGCACTTACGACTCATTACCAATCGAGTATGGGTAAGCAGTACGCAGGAGACTCTTACTTCAGAGAACAGGATCCACACGGCAACAAATCCACACGGCACTCTCACATGGATCCTAATGTCCTGTCCTCTTCTACCCCAGCCAGCCAGGAATTTACTCAGGCCTTCACCAAGCCTGCTCACTGTGCAACGCCTTCTTAGTCGGTAAGGGGAGTCCAGCCGAGCTCCGGGGAATCCTTACCGCTGATCTTAGTTGCAGGTCCGATCTCGAGGTTCACCAGTGACACCGGGTTGTTGGGAGAAGGGGAAAGCTCTCAAGCAGCAGCTGCCTCTGCTCAGAGCTTCAGGATGGGCTCCGACAGTGTGGTCTCCAGCATTCAGGAGGCGAGTGGTGGGTGGTATCGAGGCTTGGGTTTTTATGCTTGGTGGTGACCTCATAGTTGGTGTTATCAGTCTAACCACCTTAGGGTTGGCTCATTTGCATATCAGCCTGTCATTCTCTGGTTTGGTTTCTTAGTCCTAACACACACTAGCTACTAATTCTTATCACAACAGTTTTCCATACTTTAACACAATACAGTTAACCAATACAACAGCAATCTTATATGTGTTCACCACACGAAGTATAAGAAAGGAAAAAATAAGTCAGGTTAGAGATAAGTCACCAAGGTAGGATACTAATCTAAAGTCATGTTCATTCCTCTTGAGGGACTAGAATTATTAAAAGAAGGCTAGCATTCATTTAACTGGACAAGGGTGCTAAGTGCACATCTAACTGTAGTCAACCTTGAAATTAGGGATCTGGTCCTAAACAGGAGGGGGTGAGGGTGAAATTCGTCACCACTGTGAAAACCACATGATCATCTCAATGTACACAGAAAAACCACTTCACAAAATTCAATGTCCTTTGATGATAAAACTCTCAACAAGTTATGCACAGAAGGAATGTGCTTCTTCATAATAGATACTGCATGTGACAAGCCCACAGGTAACATCAGACCCAGCCATGAAAAATTGAAGGCCATTTCTCTAAGCTTAGAAAAAGATATACCCAAAAGACTGTGACACAGATTACTCCAGAGGCACCTGCACACCCATGTTTATTGCGGCACTATTCACAATAGCCAAGTTATGGAAACAACCAAGATGCCCCACTGTTGACGAATGGATTAAGAAAATGTGGTATCTATACACAATGGAATTCTATGCAGCCATGAAGAAGAACGAAATGTTATCATTCGCTGGTAAATGGATGGAATTGGAGAACATCATTCTGAGTGAGGTTAGCCTGGCCCAAAAGACCAAAAATCATATGTTCTCCCTCATATGTGGACATTAGATCAAGGGCAAACACAACAAGGGGATTGGACTTTGATCACATGATAAAGCGAGAGCACACAAGGGAGGTATGAGGATAGGTAAGACACCTAAAAACTAGACAGCATTTGTTACCCTCAAAGCAGAGAAACTAAAGCAGATACCTTAAAGCAACTGAGGCCAATAGGAGAAGGGACCAGGAACTAGAAAAAAGGTTAGTTCAAGAAGAATTAACTTAGAAGGTAACACACACGCACAGGAAATCAATGCAAGTCAATGCCCTGTATAGCTCTCCTTATCTCAACCAGCAAAAACCCTTGTTCCTTCCTATTATTGCTTATACTCTCTCTACAACAAAATTAGAGATAAGGGCAAAATAGTTTCTGCTAGGTAGCGAGGGGTAAAGGGGGGTAAGGGAGGAAGCAGGGGGAAGGGGGGAGAAATGACCTAAACATTGTATGCACATATGAATAATATAAAAATTAAAAAAAAGTATGTCCACTCTCACCACTTCTATTTGTCATGGTAATAGAATTCTTAGCCAGAGAAACTAGGCAAGAAAAAAACCTTAAAAGTATCCAAATAGGAAAGGAAAAACTGAAATTGTCTCTGCTGTTGATATGATCTTAAATATAGAAAACTCTAAGACTACCGAAAAACACCTGTTAGAACTGATAAACAAATTCAGAAAAGTCAGGATACAAAAATCAACCTGAAAAATCAGTAGCAAACTACGAACTATCTGAAAAAAGAAATTAAGAGATCTCATTTATGATAGGATGAAAGATACATAGGAGTAAATTTAATCAAGGGGGTCAAAGACCTCAAAGGAAGTCCCTCAGTATCCATGAAGGATTGATTCCAAGATCCCCCAGGAAAACCAGAACCCATGGATGCTCAAGACCCTTATATAAATGGTACAGTATTTGCATATAACCTATAACATATTCCTGTATACTTTAAATCATCTTTAGATTACTAACACAGTATATATGCAACATAAATAGATATTATACTGTGTTGTTTAGGAAATGATAATAAGAACAAAAGTCTGCACATGTTTGGGTTAGATGCAATTTAAAAATATTCTCAATCCATGGCTGGTTGAATCCATGGAGAGCCAACTGTATACTGACAACTGTAAAACATTGATGAAAGAAATTGAGGATGACACAAATAAATGGAAAGCCATCTTGTGCTCATGGACTGGAAGAATTAGACTGCTTAAATATCCATACTACCTAAAGTGATCTAGAGATTCAATGCAATCCTTATTAAAACTCTGATGTCATTTTTCACAAAAATAGATAAACAGTCCTAAAAGTTCATGTGGGGTCAAAATAGAACTCAAACAGCCAAAGCAGTCTTAAGAAAGAGAAACAAAAATGAAGATATCACAGTACCCAATTTCAAAATATATTACAAGCATTAGTAATCAAAACAGAATGGTATTGGCATAAAAGCAGACATATCCACCAGTGCAATAGAATAGAAAGCTCAGAAATAAACTCATGTATTTATGGCTAATTGATTTTTTGCAAAGATGCCAAGAATATGGAGTAGGGAAAGGCTAGTCCTTCAATAACTGGTGCTGGGGAAATTAGGTTTCTATATGCAGAACATGAAATTGGATCCTTACCTCATCCTGTATATAAGAATCACTCACAGTTGATTAAACACACAAAGGGCTGGAGGTTGAGCACAGCAATAGAATGAATGCTCAGTATGCACAAAGCCCTGGGTTTGATCCCCAGTACCATTAAAAGAAGAGGAAGGAGGGAGGAGGAATAGAAGAAGGAGGAGAAAAAGAAGGAGAAATGCCTTGAAACCTTATAAAACTACTAGAAGAAAATATAGGTGGAAAGCTCCACAACATTGGTCTGGGCAGTGTTTCTTGACTGTATCTTCAAAAGCACATGAAACAAAAGGAAAAATACTCAAATTGGATTAATTCAAGCTAAAAAGCTTTTGCATGGCAAAGGAAGCAATGAACAAAGTGAAGAGACAATCAATAGATTGGAAGAAAGTATTCGCAAATCATATACCATTAATAAGGGGCCAATATCCAAGATACAAGAAGAATTCGATAACAAAAACTACTCAATAACAAGAAAGTAACTATTAAAAAAAACAAGCACTCCACCCGGGTGCTAGTGGATTACACCTGTAATCCTAGCTACTCAGGAGGACTGCAGTTCATAAGACCCTATGTCAAGAAAACCTTTCTCAAAAAAGGGCTGGTGGAGTGGCTCAAGGTATAGGCCCTGAATTCAAACCCCAGTACTGCAAAAGCAAAAAAACAAAACAAAAAGAACACTTCTTAAGTGAAGACATAGATATTTGAAAAAATTGTCAATGTCATCAATCATTAGCAAAATGCAAATTAAAGCTATGAGCTATCATTTCATATCTGTTAGAATGGTTATTATAAAAAAGACTGAAGATAAGTGTTGGCAAGGATGTGGAGAAAAGGAACTCTTTACATTGTTGATGGTGATATGTGTTCAGTCATGCTCGCTGCAGCACTGCTCATGATGGCCACGAATGGAGTTAACCTAAATGTCCATCACACATGAGTGGGTACAGACAATGTAGTATATGTTAGTACAACCATTTTGGAAAACAGTATAGAGGTTTCTCTCTTCTCTCTCTCTCTCTCTCTCTCTCTTCTTGTGGTATTGGGGTTTGAATTCAAGGCCTCATGCTTGCTAGGCAAGTGCTCTAGCACTTGAGCCACTCCACTAGCCTGAGGTTTCTCAAAAGAGCAAAAATAGGGAGCTGGGCTTGTTGGGACATACCTGTAATCCCAGCTACTCAGGAGACAGAGGCAGGAGGCTTGCAGTTGGAAGCCAACCCAGTTGGAGGCTGCCACTAGGAAGACAGTTAGCAAGATCCTATCTCAAAAACAAACTAGCTGGGCATGTGGTTTGAGTGGTAGAGAACTTGCCTAGCAAGCACAGATCCTGGGTTCAATCCCCAGAACCACACACACACACCACACACACACACACACACACACATATTAAAAATTAAAAATAGGGTTGGGATGGCTGGGGATGTAGTTCAGTGGTGGTGGTACTTTGGCTAACATGTACAAAGGCCCTGGGTTTAATCCCCAGCACTGGAAAAAAAAAAAAAAAAACTACTAGAAATAGAACTACTGCAGCTTCCAGCAATCTAACATCAGGATATATATTTAAAAGAAATGGAATCAAGATGTCAGAGATAGCTACACCTCTGTGTTCACTGCATATTATTCACAATAGCCAAGATAGAGAGTTAACCTGAGTGTCCTTTGACTGAATTTTCCCTTTGATTGAATTTTCATTTTGATGACCTTTTTTTTGATTTACAGGATTTCTAATTTATCTCACAATTGAATATTCACTAGTATGGATGTTTTTCTTTTATGGATAGTTTGTAATATATTTTGAAATCAGGTACTATGATGCCTCCATTTTTGTTTCTTTTTCTCAAGACTGCTTTGGCGATTTGAAATCTATTGTGCCTCCACATGAACTTTTAGGACTATTTTTCTATTTTTGTGAATAATGACAGTAGGGTTTTGATAATGGAAAAAGAAAAAGAAATTAAGTGTTCATTACACTTAGGTGAATGGATACAGAAAATGTGGTTATATATGCACAATGAAATGCTATCCAGAAATTCTGACATTTGTGACAATAAGGATGAGTCTAGAGGAAATTATGCTAAGCAAGTGAGCCAGACACAGAAAGACGAATAGCACATGAGCTCACTGACATGTGGAATCTGAAAACATCAAACTTGGGATGCATCCCATCAGTTTGGTGTTTGCTTAGCATGCATAGGCCCTCGGGTTCAATCTTCAGTACCACAATAAAATAAAATAATTGATAAAAATGTCAAACTCTCCGGGGGTGTAGCTCACTGGTAGAGCCTTGACTAGCATAACCCATGCCCCGGATTCCATCCTTAGCACAGACAAATAAATACATAAAATAATAAAATAAAAAAGCCAAAATCAAAATAAGATGGTGAAAAAAAAAAAAAGATGGTGAATAACAGAGATTGAGAGAAGGGTGGACAAGGAAAGGGCAAATGATGGTCAAAGGGTATACAGTTTCAGTTAAGTAAGTGGAATAAGCTCTAGTGACCTACTGCATACCATAACTATAGTTAATGATAAACTATTGTACATTTCAAAATTGCTAGAATACATTTTAAGACATTCTCACTGCAAAGAAAGGATAAGTGTGAAGATGAGGGATATTTTAACAGCCAGATTTAATCATTCTCTAATATATACATGTATTATAATGTAACATCACATTATACCCCATGAATAATACAATCATTATTTGTTAGTAAATAAATAAGAACTTAGAGTGCACGACATGACCTACTAAGAGTGGTATTTTTATATAAAACTAACACATCAAATAAACATATGCAATTTACAAATATATAGGACTTAAATATTTGAAGCAATGAGGTTAAGATTTTATTTGTTTTATTATTTTTTTGTGGCACTAGGATTTGAACTCAAGGCCTCACGCTTGCTAGGCAGGCACTCTTACCACTTGAGCCACCCTGCCATCCCAAGGTTAGGATTTTAAATTCAATCAACAAGTATGCTTTGAGATTAAAAAAAAAAAAAAAAGTAGAAAATGGGAAATGAAAGTCAAAACTCAAAATCTAGTTGCAATTTATGTGCCAGGGACTGTAATAAGGACTTTTGCTCTTCAAACATGCCAAATGTGTCCTTCCTCAGTCTTAGCATTCATTTTCCCTTGGTCTGGGACTTTATCTGTTTTGCTTGGTCCCTAACTTCTGTCATTTCTCTGCTTAATACCACCTTATTTGTGGGGACTTCCCTCACCATGCTATCGTGTCATACAGACTTCTCATTGCCATCATCCAAGGGGCCTCCCCGCCCCCTTGCTTTCTTATTCTCTACTGTAGAGTAGATCTGTTTGTTTATTTCATAACTTCCTGCTGCTCCTATTGTAATATAAGCTCCATAGTAACAAGAACTTTGTTTCCTGCTGTATATACCCAGAATAGCTGATAAGAAATAAGTGGATAACATTTTTGGAAAATTGCTTGTTCAACAAGTTCCTACTGGGAGAAAACAGGATATTTGTATAAAAGAATATTGCTCAAGGGGCAATCCTTGCTACCTTTTCCTTGTACTGTTTGCCATAGGTTTCTTTCCAGAGATGCCAGTGGTGATCCAGGGTGGGATCTTCGTGTAGTTGTGCGACTGCCAAGGAGCATAGCAAGGGCACCCAAGCCAGCCATTTCACTCTGTTGAAGGGAAAGTCATGTAGGAAGCATAGTGGTTAGCTGCATACATTGTGACGAAATATTTTCAATACAGAAAACAGTCATCAAAGGAACACATGCCTATAAATGAGAATTAACTAGGTAACTTCCTGGAATATACAGTCACAAGGAATGAGTGCCAAATTATGTCCAAAATATTACTTCTAACAGTTGTATAATTTTAAAAATTGATTTTCAGATATCTCCTGACATCTGGCAAACCAAACACACTTAGAGAACTAAAAAGCAGGGACATTTCCAGGATTTGCCAACATATCTAATTGAGCAAAATCCTCTTTCTTACTTTCTAAAAAAGAAATCCTGACCCTGGCGCCAATGGCTCAAGCTTGCAATCCTAGCTACTCAGGAGACAGAGATCAGGAGGATCATGGTTTGAAGCTAGCCTAGGCAAATAGTTCGTAAGACCCTATCTCAAAAAAACCCATCACAAAAAAGGGCTGGTAGAGTAGCTCAAGGTGTAGGCCCTGAGTTCAAACCCCAGCACTGCAAAATAAATAAATAAATAATAAAGAAGTTAAAAAGAAATCACAAAGCTGGGACTATGTGTGGCTCAAGTAGTGGAGCACCTGCCTAGCGAATGTGAGGCCCCAACTTCAAACCTCAGTACTGCAAAACAAACAAACAAACAGTAAAAAGAAATCATCCTTAAGAAGAGGATAGCCTCCAAAAAAGTCAGTTTGTCGTCTGAATTTTCGAATACAGGAGCTTGAGGCCTCTTTATCCACAACCTAAGTTTATGCACATATGGAAACATTCCATGGCATGCCACTAACATGTATAATTTTTATGTTTTTTTGCATCAGTTAACATAAATTTAATTTAAAAAATAAGCCAGGCATAGTGGCATGTTCCTAGAGTCCCATCTGCTCAGGAGACTTGAGTCCAGGATTCAATCTTCAGCATCACAGAAATAACTGTGTAAATAAATGGGTCTGGGGATGTAGCTAAGTGGTGGAGCATTTGCATAGGGGGAGGGGAGGCGGGGGAGGGCTGAGTTCCATCCCCAGCACTGCAATAAAATTTCTAAGCAAATAAAATACAGTTCTTAAAATACTTCCCTAAAAGCAAAAAACAAAATAAATGCCCATAACCTTTAGAGATAGTTAAAACACAACTCCTATTTACTGGTTTTATATCCTTCGGTCATTTTCCTTTTTTTAACTTTTTCTTTTCAATAAATCAAATGTCTGTTTCAAAGGAGGTAATTACTCTCTAAAACACCATTTCTGCATTTAATTCAGACTTTAACAGAAATTCAATGACTAACTGCCTGAACTAGACTCTACTTCCATATCAAAACAGCTGAGATTTTTAGTCAAGAAAACCTTCAGGTCTTATTTCAAAGAAGGCAGGTTTCAGCCTCAAGCTCAGATTTTCAAGCAGACATTAACTTTTTAAAGAATAGTTCTTTTAAATCAGAAAAATGAGAGCCAGATTGCACAACATGATTTTTTTTTTTTAAGTTTACTTCCTGAAACCAAAGATTTAAAGCCGAGCAGGCAGAGCAAACCGAAAACACGGTATTTAATGTGTAGAAAAAACCAGACAGTACATACATGGTAGAACCAGCAGGCGCTCCCATCGTAAGAGTCCTTGACTTCATGTGCTCGCTCCAAAGAATTCAAAGGCAGCAAGGAAACTTCTGTTGAATTGACTTTAAACAGAAATTGGAACTTGTCACATGAGGTATCCACAATGAGGAAGTGAACTTTCATTTCAGTTTCACTTAAAATCTTACCAGACCCACCGCCTCTAGTCCTCTCCCTCTGGTCTTGGGACAAACTAGATGTAGTAAGCCATTAGGAAGAGTGCTACAGCCAGGTGTTGTGGGCATGCTTGTCATCCCAGCTCCAAAAGTAGCAAGACTGTGTCTTAAAAAGCAAGAACAAAAGGGCTAGGAGGGTAGTTAAAGTGGTAGAGCACAGATCCATCAGGGGCCCTGGGTTCAATCCCCAGTACCACAAGGGAGACAAAAATAGGAGCCCCCCCCCGCCATGGAGGCGATCAATAGAACAAACAAATTCAGCAGAACAAGGTCACCCTTTAATCCTACATCATTTTGATAATTGCTTTATTTAAAAACACCGATTTTGAAGTGGAAAATTTAGTTATGAATAGATTAGGATTAATAGCTCCTCAAATCCCAACTCCTTTCCTGAGTTCCTAGGAAACCTGTTTTATTCCTTAGTCATCCATGATCTACTGTTGTCTAATTCTCACTGAGCTATTCCTTTTTCATCAATTCAAAATATCTCAATAACACACACATGTGTATTAATGCAAAACAGGAATGTACTTATATATACATCTGTTACTGTGGTTACCTGGATGTGGTGGGAGCATTTTCCTAATTAGTAATGAATTTAGCCTCTTTCACACTCTTTTTTGACGATTTGAGTTTTCTATGAATTGCCTTTTCATTTCTTCTGTTCATTTTTCTATTGTATTTGCTTCTTTTTCTTAGTAATTTGTACTTTGGGGTTTTGGCTTTGTTTTTAATATATTCTGTCTACTTATCTCTGACAGTTATATATAATATATATACTAAACACATCATCTCTCGGTCCCCACTTGTCTTTTAACCTTGTTTATATTGAGTTTTTCTACATAAAAAAATTAAAGTATTGATGTAGAAAATTTTATTCAGCTTTTTATCATCTATGCTTTTTATGTGTTGTTTATGAAAGTTTTCCTTATCCCGATATAATAAAGATACATGCATTTTATTCCCTTAGACAGTGTTTTATTTTTCTTTTCTGTGGTTTTTGCTTTTAGGTCTTTTTGTTGTTGTTGTCTTTTTTTTTTCTTTTCTTTTTGTTTTTAAAGCTCACTTTTTCTTTTTTTTTTGGCAGTACTGGGATTTGAACTCATGACCTCATGCTTGCTGGGCAAGCGCTCTACCACTTGAGCCACTCTACCAGCTCACTTTTAGGTCTTTAATTCATTTAAATTTCAGTTTTGTGTGTGGTGTAAGATAAGTAGCCTATTTTGTTTGTTTTCCCATTCTGATGCTACTTCTATCATACATCAAATTCTCATGCATGGGGTGTTTGTGAACCACTGAATGACTCTATTTATCTATTGTTATTTCAGTGCCACGTGATTTTAATTAAAACAGTTTTGTAATATGTCTTGATGTTTGTTAGGGCAAGTTAGTCCCACCACTCCCATGCTTGTTCTTCTTTGTAACATTACATTAGCATTTTGTGCTTGTTAACTTTCCATGTGAATTTTTTAATCAGTAATCAAGTTCCCTGAAAAATTCTGGTTTTAATGTTTAATTATTAATATTCATTAATGTTAATGATTAATATTAATCATTAATATTAATTGGGAAAGATCTAACATATAAGATTGAGTGTTGACTTTTCTCATTTGTAGTAAACATTTTCATGTTTGTGGTCATCTGGGGTTTTTTTTGTATTTTCATTATGGGAAAATGTAAACACGTATAAAAGTGGAGGTAACAAAACCATTATCTTGTTTCAACAATTATCAGTAAGTGACAAATCTTGTTTCATTTGTATGCCCACTTCCTAGATTATCTTGAAATAAATCTTAGACATCATATCATTTCATATGTAAATATTCCTGAGTGTATCTCTAAAAGGTAAAGATTAATTAAATAAATATAAACACAATACCATTATGACATCTAAAATAAGCTAACAGTAATGTCATCAACATCTTCACCTTCCCTTTTCTGTCTTACAAACATATTTTTAAGTAGTGTGTTTGAATTGGAGCCAAGATGCTCCGTGTATTCTAAAACTATTGTGTTATATATCATGATGAATTCATAGATTTAAGCGTATTTGATGTATGCCAACCCATTCCAGCTTTATACTTATCCATACTCACATTGGATCATATTTTAATCAGTGAGAATGATTCAACTTGGCATCTGAGCTCTGGCCTTTCTGATTACTTAAATATCTCTTTGAAGAGGAAGATAGCTTTGAAACAGGGCCATAAAACACGGTAAACTATCAACCAAAAGCTGTAACCTCAGACAGAGCTGTGAGGAATTGCCCATTAGAGGCATGCAAAAGTTCAGGACTGAGATGAAAGGCATCATGCAGAGATAAGCACCCATTCCTGCCTTTCTTTGTCTCCACTTGTAAATAAACTTCCAAAGCAGGACTCCCCTGCTGTTCTTATGTAGCCTTAGGTCTCTAACCCACTACTAGCCCTACTTTATGGGAGAGCACATTCCTTGTAACCTGATGCCCTGCACTGCCTTTTAAATATCCTGTGAATCCTTTGTTCAGGGCTCAAACACAGGTACACATCTGGGCCCGCTAGCGAAAAATTAAAATCTGAGTTCTCCACTCCTCCGAGTGTCGCTTGGTTTCTCCTCTGACTATATTGCCACAACATCTTCACCACCACATTTCACAACTGCAATACCACTCCCGCTTTTAATCCATCCTGGTAACTCTTTGGGGGCTTTTTTAGGTCTCTGAGGGATTTTTATTTCTTCCTTTTTTCTTTTTTTAGTGGTTCTGGGGTTTGAATTCAGGGCCTCATACTTGTTATACAGGCAGGCACTCTACCACTTGAGCCACTCCACTCGCCCTCTAAGGGCTTTTTATGTTTTTTAGCTTTTCCATTTGTTCCCAGTGACAAGATTGGTCTGAATTACCTAGTTCACTGTACTATAAGAGCAGATCTCCAAATGCCTGATTAACATTTTATCATTCTCTACCACTTCTAAAACAGTGTTGCCCAATAGAAAGAAAATGGGAGTCATTTTAAGTTCTCTAGTAGCCATATTTAGACAGTTAAAAAAAGGACAGAGTCAGATGTGGTAGCACATATCACTAATCCAAACATTTGGGAGGCTAAGGCAGGAAGGTTATGAATTTGAGGCCAACCCAGGCTACATAGCAAGATCTTCTCTCAAAAAAAAAAAAGTTTCAAGTGGTAAAGTGCTTGCCTCCAGTACCACCAAAAACAACAACAAAAACAGGTAAGTTGATTTTAAAATATTTCATTTGTCCCAATGATAATATATAATACAAAATCAATAAATTAGTAATTACATTCTTTTTTTCTTTTTTGGAGGTACTGGGGTTTGAACTCAGTGCCTCAAGTTTTACCACTTACCAACCTCCAGGCGTTTTTCCTTATTTTGTCAGAGAGGGTCTTGCATTTTTGTCTGGGGCAACCCTCCTACTTACAGCTTCCCATGTTGCCTGGCTTATTGATTGAGAATGGGTTCTTGCTAACTGTTTACAAGGGCTGGCTTCAAACTGCGATTCTTGATTCTTCAATCTCTGCCTCCCAAGTAGTGGGATTACAGATGTGAGCCACTATGTTGGCCTTTAATTAGATTCCAAGAGTGTATTTTAAACTTATAGCATATCTCAATTTGGACTTTTCAAAATGCCGTATCTCAAGTGCTCAAGAGCTACTTTTGGCTAATGGTTACTGTATTGGACCATACAAACCTAAATCCTCATCACTTCTCCTAAAACAGCATTCAATCAGAATATTTCATGTCTCAAAATATCTTCATTCCATATTGCCTATTAATTTAAAAATAAAGCTCTCATTCCCTACTTTTTTTTTTTACAACCTCATCTTTACTATCCTCACATGTGTACCTTCTACTGAAAGCAATTGATTTTTTAAAATTTATTTATTCTTTTTAGTGGTATTGGGGTTGAACTCAGGGTTTTGTGCTTGCTAGGCAAGGGGGGTGCTCTACTGCTTGAGCCACACCTCCAGTCCTTTTTGCTCTGATTATTTTACAGATGAGATCTCACAATCCTCTCTCTTGCTGGGATGACAGGTGCTCAGCACCACATGGACCTAGAACTTTTCTGTTGAGATGAGGTCTCGCTGGCCTGGAACCACAACTCTTCCAAGGTCAGCCTCCTGAGTAGCTCGGAATGATAGGCACATGCCACTGTACCCAGATATTGATTGAGATGGGGTCTCACAAACTGTTTAGACTGGCCTCAAACTGTGATCCTCCTGATCTCAGCCTCCCAAGCAGCTAAAATTACAGGCATGAAACAGTAGCACCTAGCATCGGTTTTCTTCATGCTGTTCCAATCATCTATGCTTATCAACCTCTGCACTTTTTGTCTTTTTTTTTTTTTTTGCAGCACTAGGGTTTAAACTCAGGGCCTTGTGCTTACCAGGCAACCACTCTACCACTTGAGCCATTCTGTCAGCCCAGCTCTACACTTTTTATACACCTTATGATTGTAACAGTCCTACCTAACATTAGTTTGAGGCCAATTATCTGTCAGTGAATGTGCTATACTCTTTATGCATAACTAATTTTTTCATGCATTATTTTTTGATCTTCACAACACTGTGAGGTAAGAACAATTTTATTATCCTCATTTTACAGAGGAGAAGTTAAAGTTCAGAGATATTATACATAAATTGTTCAAGGAACAGAGCTTGTTGTTGACTTGGGATTGAACTTAGTTTTAAAAGTAATGCTTTTCCAGCAGCTTTATTTTGCCTCCCACTGTCTGGAATTTCCTTCTTTCATCTCTACCTCCTGAAATCCTGCTCCTCTTTCATGTCCATCTCAGAAAACCTTTATCCCCACTGAATGTCACTTTTTGGAACTCTACAGTGCTTTAACACTTTCTTCAGAGCAGAAAAGTCCTCTTTTCTACCTGCTATTAA